GCGCCTGCTAACGCGACTGCTTACGATAAGGGGGTTGCTGCTGGCGCGATTGGGACTGCGAACGCAACAGAACCAGGAGATGCTAACAGCCGCCCCGTGGCGGCGACGGCGAGGCAGAGCAAGAACTCGGTGCTAGGAAAGAACTCCACGTGCGCCTATTACGGCAACTACACCGCCAACCCCTACTTTGGCAAGGGGCTCACCGTGAAGCTTCCTCCCGCCATCTTCGGCAAGCGCTGCGGCGCGTGCTACAAGGTGATTTGCGCCAACGACACGAAGCGCTGCCGCAGCGGCAAGGCGACCGTGACGGTGCGCGTGATTGGCGCGACGAGCACGGACAAGCAGATTTCACTCTCCCCCGTGTCGTGGTCCAAGATCGTGGCGGGATCCGACGCCGCCCCTGTTAGCGTCACGTACAAGCGCACCAACTGCCATTCCACCCTCGGATCCGCAGTGCGCGTACGCATCAACTCGACGGCGGAGCATTTCAACATTCAGATGGTGGGTCTCGCCGGCCCCGGTACGCTCAAGGCGGTCGAGATCAGCGCGGACGGCAAGAAGTGGGCGAAGCTGACGCGCGACGGCAGCAAGGCGATCTGGGGGATCAAGGGCAAGGAGGCGAAGGAGGTTGTGGGCGCGAAGAAGGCGGTGAGCGTTCGGCTGACTGCGGGACACACGTTGGAAAAGATCACTCTTGACAAGGTCCTTCCCGCCGACTGGAAGCCGCAGACGCTCTACTCGTCCAAGGCCAACTTCAAGAAGCTCATGGCCGAGGCCAAGTAAACAAGTAGTAAGCGTGATGACGCAAGCTGGCGCCAGCAGTGGGGTGAAGGTGCCTTTGAGCATGAGACTGGCTGAACGTTAGGTGGTAGCGGGCGGGAGTGGGGTGAGACCAGAATGGGTTAGTGGAAAGGGAATGGGTAGCGGGTGAGTGGGTTTGTGAAAGGGGAGTAAGGTGCAGATTTACTTGTATGCACGCCATAGTACCGTACACCTATCCCACATGATCATTGTGTGATGAGGCTACCGACCGGTATTTTTCGAGTCTCAGGAATTGGTAGTTCAGGGTTGAGTTCATGCCTGAGCTTAGTCTGCGCTCCAAATTGCCCAAGGTCTTAGTGCTTTCTGAAATTCAAAAGTTTTTCACTCTGGCCTGAGCATGGTATTCCATGCTACATCTTATGCTGGCTTTTGGGTGATCTTGACCAAACATTCAGGTACGGTACTACGGTACACAATGCATAACATCCAACAACTAAGAGATACCCTCATACGCCATTCACTCCATCTTAAAACCCAAGGTCCACGGGTTTCAAGGGTAGGAAGATTGGTTGGACCTGATGACCCAACCAAAGGTAGAAAGGTTGACGCAACTTTGAGGAACTTGTGACTCCGGTTGAGGGGGACGAAGACACGGAAGGGAAGAGCTGTTTCCCTGCAGTGGAGCTGTAATCCAAAACCTCGTCTGCTCCAAGCACGTTTCGTGCAAAGACGAGGTTGCGAGCGCCGACAGTGGCAGTCACGCGTGCCCCTGCTGCCTTAGCCAACTGCACTGCCAGATGCCCCACTCCCCCTGATGCATTCGCGACCAGTACCCACGCCCTCTTCCCGCTGCCATTGCTCCTGCCGTTGCCTCTGGTCTCGCCCTTACCACTGCTACCAGCGCTGTGCTCTCCACTCGGTTTTTTAGACAACTCAGAACCAGGTTTGAGTTCCCCGGAGCTTGCAGGAAAAAACAAACCAGCGCAGACTCCAGAGCAGTGAGGCCGACGACGGGGAGAGCAGCAGCAGACTCCAAGGTGAGGGAGGACGGCTTGTGTGCGCTGCCTGCAGTTTCCGATACGGCGTACTGCGCCAGGGCGCACATTTTCTGAGAATACACACAAGAGGGAAGAGCGACAAGAATACAAAAGAGGTATGGGGAAAAGAAGAAATGAGAAGGGAAAGCAAGTAGCAGGTGTGCTGGTCGAGGACTGTGTAGCGTGCCAGAGCTCCCATTTTCTGAGAGAGTGAACGAGCGTGGGGTTAGAGAGGATGGATAACGCATGGAGGGTGCATGGGAGAGAAGCAGCCAGACGTGGTGGTGGAAACACCAAACACCAGACTCTGAATGAGAGATTTGTTGACTTGCGTTTCCGACATTGTCCGCAGACGAACAGCAAGTGGTCACATGCCATAAGAGACGGATGTGATCCAGAGCGGTGGAAAGAGGTGCAGTGCAGTGGATGAGATTGGAAGAGCAAAGAATTAAGCAGAATCTGGTGGTTACGGAACGTACGAAGAACGGAGCCCTCCAAAAACGGCATCTCTCAGAGTACTTGGTAACGCCAGGCCCCACTACCACCATGTTGCCTGCGAGGTCGTACCCTGCATGAGCAATGCACAAAAATAGTTCAGGAAAAGAATAAAATAATTTCCTGATCCGAGTGTGCGGGTGAGAAGGGTGAACGACAAGGCGGTGGGAAAAGAAATGCATGCCGGCCGTCACCAGCAGAGGGAGAACCGGTGGGGGAACCACAGAGCCAGGTAAGGGGACACACAACAGTGCACAACTCAGAGCAGAGGGGACACAAGGGAGAGCATGCACAGCTCGCACCAACATGGTGGAGAGCCACAGCGGCAGGAAGGGGATGAGAATAAAATGCACCTATGGAAGCCGGCGCTTTGAAAGTCCTTTTTAGATACTTTCATCTTCCGCAGCTGCTTGCAGGCTTTCTCACCAGCGGTGGCGGGGAGCCGGCGTGGCAGGAAGGGGATGAGTCCCGACTGCACCTTCCAGTCGCCCGGGTTGATGCTTGCCGCGCGCACGCGAACCAGCACCTCGCCCTTGCATGGCGCAGGCACGGGGTCGTTTTCATTCAGCTGGTGAAGTGAGAAGGAGTGGGGCATGGGGAGAAACCATCGAGATTGACGTTTCTCGCCACGCGCACGTGATCAGCGCCTCGACCTTGCACGGACTGGTCACGGGGATGTTGCTGCTCGCCTGGTGAAACGCGGGATGTTGCTGCTCGCCTGGTGAAACGCGGGATGTTGCTGCTCGCCTGGTGAAACGCGGGATGTTGCTGCTCGCCTGGTGAAACGCGGGATGTTGCTGCTCGCCTGGTGAAACGCGGGACGGGGAAAATGACGTAACTACTCTCTCCTCATGCTCGAACCAGCACCTCGCCCTTACATGGCTTGCAGGGATGCTGTGATTCAGCTGGCAAAGCTCGAAAAGGAAGATCAGGAAAAGTAGGTACTACTAGTAACACTTTGAAATGAAGAACCTGATCAGCCATGCGCACTGGAACCACCACCTCGCCCTCACACGGCTTGCCAAGCCCCCAGTGGGCTGTGTTGTTCAAGTGCAGCGGGGAGTGTGGGATGGAGGACACGTAACAGCAAGCAGATGATTATAGAGCTGAAACCCTTCAGTGAGTCACTCATGTGAAGCTCTTTGCCTTTTCACTACTTAATAGAAGCGCCGCGCTTCGGATCATGATGTTTATCATGCGCTAATGCACTGGCATGTCAACCGCAATCCTGTCGCAGCGAGACGACGGCACCGGGAGGCAATGCCCGTCCGTGGGCTTGCAAGGGATGTCTGGCGTAAGCATGATGATGCTGAAGCTCAGGACTTGGTGCTGCGGCAGGGAAACTATTGCTACGTGCGTCTCCTAAAAGCAGAGAAAAAATTACCAGAAACAAGTTCCTCGGATAATTTGGTCGGCGGGGGGACGGAACGCGCATCAGCCCCGACGCCGTGCTTCAAGTACTGCCACGCGCACATGGTCTCCGGTACGTGCGACATTTGCAGGCCCAACTTGCGAAGCCCCAATTCCAACGGAGCTGTTTCCAGCCGTCGTTACTGCGCGCCACACAGCGACGAGTGCTCACGGAAACGGAGAGTGGTACTAGATCGCGTCTTCGCAGCAGTTTTGACATTGAAACGGCTGCGGCGCACACAGAAGTCGCATGTAGATGTTGGCAGCAGTGGACACGGAGCCCTTCCACGCTATGGAGAAGGAACTAGAGTCCTAGTAGGACAGAAAATACGCGCAACTAGAATAGCCAGACTGCCCCTCGCCCTGATTAGATGGAGCCTAAGTCGACGTAAGGGCGCCGTCAGGTTGTACAAGAATCACGCATATGCGTATTCAGTTACCAGTAAACGCAAGTGTAACCACGGTTTTTGTTGACTTTTGGACGCGATCAGACTCGGGCCATGACATCTGTGATGAATGGGTTTCGAGTCTGTACGTCTTGGGCAAGAAATAACTGTGTGTGCGATTGTGCACAGCAGACCCGAACAACTCCATAGCGCGATCAGGTAGTTTGGGCGCAAAACGTAACACGATTACGCATGCACATTGCGACAGTCGCAACCTGCACGTTGGGCTTTGCGATGCGAATTGGCTAATTTTCACTCCAACAGCGCGCGAAACATAAGGGCGGGTCACGTGTATGTCGAGTCGAGTTCTCATTTAGGTTGCCGTATGGTCAAAATGGGAACGTAGTCGCCAGACCCTTATCGCATGGTAACCATGCTAAGTTCGGCCCAATTTCCGAACATAGAAAAATATAACACACGCCCTTTCAGGATAACTCCTAGCCCCATTTTCCAAAGGTGCTCTTACAACCTTGGAGTCGCTAGCGACCTTACACGAACGAGGGCCTTTTCTCATCGAATACCTCTGCCTTTCCCCCCGCTCCCCGTTCCCTGTTCCGCCCCCCTTTCCGTTCCTCCTGCGCGCTCAACCATGTCCGCCGCAGTGTTGGTGGCCCTCCGCGTATCGCCCGCCGTTCCTGGCCCGACTCGCCACGTGTCGCTCGATCTCACCCATTCCGCTAACTCCGCTGCACCTCTCATCAGTACTACTGCTGGTAGCAGTCGCACCATTTCTCACACGACGCGTCGTACCGTCGCACGGCGTTCACGCCTTCACGTATTACCGTCGCCGCCCCCGCAGGCGTTTGTTTTTTCATCGCTTAGTCGCGAAAGCTCTGAGAATTCCGATCGCATGGCGCGGCGACTCGCTTCGATTAAAGCCTTGAGATTGGTGGGCACCAGGATCGCGGCGCCGGTTTCATCCCCTGTATTGCATCGCTCGTTTGCTACCCTGTCGCCATCGGCGCGTGCGTCGTCACAGTCGTGGGACGAGCTGAGCCAACCTGTGAGTGAAGCGCGCCGAGCTCCCACCATCCAGAGGGATGCAGAAACCCTTCAGATTCCTCTTTTCTCCTCTCCACTCCTCTTATCTTCCTCTCTTCTCCTCCTCTTCCACTGCTCGCTTCCTCTCCCCCTTTCTCTGCCTTATTTGGCAGATTCGATTCTCCCCGGCCCCCTCAATTCATCTCCCGCCCACTCCCCTCCTCGCCCCTCCCTCGCACCCACTCCTCCCCCCTGGCCCCTCATCCCTGGCGGACCGTGGCAGGGAACCCTGAGAGCGTCAGTAACGGTGTCACGAGTGGGGCTGCACCATTTGAGCCGTCCCACCACCGTCTAGCTGCTACCTGCGTTTTGACATACATCAAACCTCCCCTCCTCCGCCCTCCCCCTCCTCCCAACCCCGCCGGCAGACAGGCGAGTAGCAGAACACGCTGAGGGCGCCAGTAACGGTGTCAGGCGTGACGTTGCATCTGGGCCTTCTCAAACCTCCCCCTCCCTCCCCCCTCCTTCCCCCATCCCTCTCGAGGTGACTTTTGAGTCGACTCAAAAGTCACCTCGTTGCATCCGGGCCTTCTCAAACCTCCCCCCTCCCTCCCCTCTCCTTCCCCCATCCCTCTCCTCTCCATCCGCACCCAACCCCTCCGGCCGACAGGCGAGTGGCAGGGCACGCTGAAAGCACCAGCAACAGTTTCGGGCGTGGGGCTGCATCTGGGCCTTCTCAAACCTCCCTCCTCCCTCCCCCCTCCTCCCCCCCTCCCTCTCCCTCCTTTCCCCCTCCATCCCCTCTCCTTGCCCCCTCCCTCCCTCCCCCCTCCTTCCCCCGTCCCTCTCCCCTCCTTCCGCACCCAACCCCCGCCGGCAGACAGGCGAGTGGCAGGGCACGCTGAAAGCGGCAGTGACGGTGTCAGGCGTGGGGCTGCATCTGGGCCTGCCCACCACTGTCACCCTGCTGCCCGCCCCTGCTGCCTCGGGCCGGGTCTTCCACGTGGTGCCTGGGGGGGATGGGGGACGAAGGGAGGGGGATGGAGGAGGAGGTGGAGTGGTGGAGATCGGTGCAGATGTGTGGAGTGTGGTGGACACGCGGCTGTCCACTGTGCTGGCTGCTTCCGGGGGAAGTGAGCAGAGTGAAGTGCGGTTGGGAACGGTGGAGCATCTGCTGTCGGCTCTGGAGGGGTGTGGCGTGGACAACTGCGTGATTCGTGTGGAGGGCGGTGGCGAGGTGAGGCGAGGTGAGGGGAGGGGAGGTGAGGTGAGGTGCGGTGAGGTGAGGTGAGGGGAGAGGAGGCGAGGTGAGGCGAGGTGAGGTGAGGTGAGGTGCGGTGAGGTGAGGTGCGGTGAGGTGAGGTGAGGGGAGAGGAGGCGAGGTGAGGCGAGGTGAGGTGAGGTGAGGTGCGGTGAGGTGAGATGCGGTGAGGTGAGGGGAGGGGAGGTGAGGGCAGGGCGGGTGAGACGTATGCGCAGGGTGAGAGCTACAAGGGCGGGTCAGAGTGGCGCACCTGCTGTGGGCACCTGCATTGCTGAACTGACTTTCGATGCGAGGTCTCGAATCCATCTTCAGTACAAATGTGGAAACTGTCCCAAAAAAAATGAATAAAGCAAAGACATCCGTTCAGCTCTACAGAACTATGAAAAAAGTGATCCGTGGCTTCTCAAACCCCCCCTTTTTGAACCTGCCTTTCCCTGCCGTCAGATGCCAGTGCTGGACGGGTCAGCAGCGGAGTGGGTGCGACACATCATGTCGGCCGGCATCCTCCCCGCCACACTGCACCGCTGCAACAGCACCACACGCCATGCTGCTAGTGGCGGTGCCGATGCTGCTGTGACTGTGGAGAGGAGGAGGTGGAACCTGCCTGGAAACCAGCCAATCACGGTGCAGCATGGGGATTCCTTCATCGCTGCGTTCCCCCGGGCTTCACCGCTTCTCACTTACGGCATTGACTTTCCACATGTGAGGCGTTGACTTTCCACATGTGAGGCGTTGACTTTCCACATGTGAGGCGTTGACTTTCCACATGTGAGGCGTTGACTTTCCACATGTGAGGCGTTGACTTTCCACACGTGAGACGTTGCGTTTCCACACGTGAGGCATTGCGTTTCCACACGTGAGGCATTGCGTTTCCACATGTGAGGCTTTGACTTTCCACACGTGATGCGTTGTCTTGCCGCATTTGAGGCATTGACTTGTCGCGTGTGAGGTGTTGACTTGCCGCATTTAAGGCGTTGACTTGCCGTATGTGAGGTGTTGACTTGCGACATTGACTTGCCGCATATAAGGCACTGACTTGCCATGCCACACTACAACAGTCGCACATGCTGGAGTTTCCATCCCCATCGCCCCATTGGGATACGGTTTTTTTGCGTGGTTGTTTTCCTGCACAAGCGTCCCCAATTCTCCATCTCCGTTACTCGGGCTGTTGATATATTTTCAAAGGGACGGCAATCTGAGCCACTTAGACTAATTTGCGCCCGTGGACAACCTTAGTTGCAATTACCACCCGTTCTCACTTGTTGGTGTAGCTTGAGGTTTTTGCTTGTGACCCCACCCCATTGACTTGAACCGTCTGCTGACCTATTTATTTAGGACTTGTAACACCTGTGGCATAGGAATCCAGTCCATGGATCCGTTGACCCCATTGTCCCCGTTGACCCACGCTCACAGGTGCCGGCCGTCGGGCGGCAGTGGGTGTAGTGGGAGGCATGCCGCTCACAGCAACCAGCGCAGCCGCTCACAGCAACCAGCGCAGCCGCTCACAGCAACCAGCGCAGCCGCTCACAGCAACCAGCACAGCCGCTCACAGCAACCAGCGCAGCCGCTCACAGCAACCAGCGCAGCCGCTCACAGCAACCAGCGCAGCCGCTCACAGCAACCAGCGCAGCCGCTCACAGCAACCGCGAGCACCAGAGCAGCATGGGGGGCACGGATGTAGGGTTGTTTTTCTATGTTGGCTCGGATCGTCTGTTGACCCTGTTGACCTCCCTGCACTCTCCCAGGTGCCTGCGATCGGGCGGCAGTGGGTGTCGTGGGAGCCGTGCCGCTCACAGCCGCCAGCACAACAGGGAGCAGCAGAGCAACACAGGGGTGCGGGAGAGGAACAAGGTGGAGCAGCAGAGCGGCCAGCGGGGGCAGCAGCGCAGGCGGAGCATGGGGAGCAGGGGGAGCATGGGGAGCAGGGTGGGGAGTGTGGCGACTATGTGTCGGGCATTGCGCCTGCGCGCACCTTCTGCATCCTGGAACAGGTAAAGTACAGAGAGGCTTGGAGGCTTGAAGAGGCTTGGAGGCTTGAAGATGTTTGGAGGCTTGAAGAGGCTTGGAGGCTTGAAGATGTTTGGAGGCTTGAAGATGTTTGGAGGCTTGAAGATGTTTGGAGGCTCATCCATGTCCTTGAAACCGTTTGACATGAGCAGCAGTGCAAGGTGGGTTGGCGAAGAGATCTGATGTTAGCATTGCGTTATAGCGCGTTGGAGTTGCATCATGTTGATGATCTTTGTAGTGGGTTGCAGTTAGGACGTTGAGATGTAAGTAGAAAAAAAACTGCGAATGAAGTGCTGCCATAGAAATGGGCGGCACATAAAGGGCGGCTTATGAAGGGTGGCTCAGAAATGACAGGTTGACTGGAGCGCTGCAGTCTTGTTCTCTCGAATCCCTCCCTTCACCGTCCCCTGCCCCACGTCAGTTCCCCCCTCGTTCATCTCCCACCGCAGATGAGAGGAGCAAAACTCACACGAGCTGTCTCACTGAGCAATCCCCTCTCCTTCGTTCCACTCCCTTCAAACATTGCTGCTCCTTTCCCCACTTGTGCCACCACTGCACCTTGGTGCCCCCATGGCCCCGCTCCCGCTGCCCCACTGAATGATACCCTCTCCCACCTCTCCATTCTCTTCAATCCTCTCGCCCCCATCGCCGCAGGTGGAGCAGATGCGAGCAGCGGGGCTCATCAAGGGCGGCTCGCTCGACAATGCTCTCGTGTGCAGGTGAGCTGTGTGCAGGTGAGCCGTGTGCAGGTGAGGCTGGGAGGTGTCATGCAGGTAAGGCTCGGGGAGGTGCCATGCATGTGTGCCTTGTCGTGCCTGGTTGCTTCCATGTATGTTTGATTGAAGCGGCTTGAGTTGGGTGAGTGCATGTGAGGCTGTGACTTGCAGGTTGGAGGAATGATGAGCGTTTCGAGCAATGCTACGTGCCATGCAGGTAGGTCCACGGGTTGCCATGGTCCACCCCGGATGGCGGTGCCATGGTCCACCCCGGATGGCGGTGCCATGGTCCACCCCGGATGGCGGTGCCATGGTCCACCCCGGATGGCGGTGCCATGGCGCACCCGGGACGACTCACAGTGCTGGCCGCGTCTCCCCCCTCTCCTCATACCCCACATGTCCTTCTTTTGCTTCTCACCTCATCGCGCCCACCTCTTACTTGATGGGGCGAACACTCAACCCCCTCGTGTGAGTACCCTATTGAGAAGGCTCTTTGTTTTTTTTGCCCCCACTTCTCCCTTTCCCACACTGGCACCTGCACTCTGCCTCCCTACAGCCAAGCGCGAGGGTGGGTGAACCCGCCACTGCGACTCCCTCTGGAGCCGTGTCGGCACAAGCTGCTGGACCTCATCGGCGACCTGGCGCTCTGTGCGCGGGGAGGGAACGCAGGCATCCCCAATGCACACATAGTGGCCTATAAAGTGAGTGCCGGGCAGGCTTCAAAGGAAACCCCCGGTGCGACTCCCTCTGGAGCCGTGCCAGCACAAGCTGCTGAATCTCATAGAGGACCTGCCACTCAGTGCGCAGGAGGGAATGCCGGCACCAGTGGTCATGTCGTGCATGCCTGTTGACGTTTGTCTCTGTGACCTTCCAGCCACCACCCTCTAAACGTGCCTACATGTCACCTCGCCCCTACAACCCTCCCTCATCTCTTCCACCCTTGTTGCCTCCCCCGTGTATGAGCAGGCGAGCCATGCTCTGCATGTGGCGTTTGGTAAGGCGCTTATGGGCGCGCTGGAGGCAGAGGCGAAGGGGCATGGAGAGGCTGGGTAGCAAGTGGTGCAGCTACGAGTTACAGTAACTTGGTTACCACGCTGCAGTTACAAATGGATCCAACAACATGCAATAAGCTCCAAGGGAGCGACCCCAGAAAGGCTACCGTGTAACCAAGCCGAACTGACACGGTAGAATCGGGAAACTACTGGTAATAAAGTGAACACACTGCCATATGTACGTAGCAGGATTGGAGAAGTGGATTTGCACTGCTTTAACATGCTTCATCCTCTATTGGCACAGAACAGATGGTTTAGCTGCCATGCCATGTCCTTGAGTGTTGAACCGTACACCATACACAATAGACCGAGATCACAGGGCCGAGATGAGATGTACGGTTCTACCATATGTACAATTGCTCTTATGTTAAGCATGCTGTACACAACTTGGCACATGCAAAGGTCAACACAACACCATAACTACAGCAACAATTGGCACTCTCAGCTAAACAGGCACACCAAGGGCAGTGATCACTCGTCTAGAGATAAACTCACATCCATGCGTCACATCCATGGACACATCCATGCGTCACATCCATGCGTCACATCCATGGACACATCCATGCGTCACATCCATGCGTCACATCCATGCATCACATCCATGCGTCACATCGATTCATCACCAGCTAAACATGCGCAAGCAGCCTGCCGTACCTTGCAGGGTTCATACTCGAGCTTCCTACCCCACACGCAGCGCCCGCTCACCCAATACTCAACATCGGTCCGCCCACTGCACACCATCTTTCTTCATCCCATCGTTGATAAAAACTCCCACTTCTTCGTTCACCACCACTCCCCCCTGCCCCTCTTCCCTCGTCACCTCCGCAGCCCCATGCTGTGCGTGACCCTCGTGCCTCGCATGCTCAACGGCGCCACGCCCACCAGCCGCCCCCTCCACCAGTGCGCGCACCTGCCCCCGCACGTGCTGCGCCTTGGCCTTCATGGCGTCTGCATGCGCTGTGATGGCTCCCAGCATCTGCAGCGCACACAGGGAGGTAAGGGCACATGCTGAGACGTGAGGGGTGGCCTGGCACAGCATCACAAAGAGACGTGGGTGCCGTGCCTTGGCCTTCACGGCGCCCCCATGCGCTGTGATGCCCGCCAGCATCCGCACCCACCGCCCCGCGCACACGGAGGTCAGGGAAACGAGGGGCTCAACTTGAGAATGCGTAAAGAGAAAGGAGAGAGACCAGCGAGGGAGGCATGAAGCGATGCACGATACAGGGAGGTACTGGAGTATGGAGAGATGTAGGAAAACACGAAAGGTGGAAGGAAGTAAAGAATAGATAAGAGCACAGTAGCAAGGTTTAAAATAACACTATTCGCTTAATTCGGTCATCTTATATGGCACAGCAATGTGATGGCCATTCGATTGTGTACAGCAATTGCATAAAAGAAGAACTAAAGACACAATACAAAGAAATTGGGCGTAATAATCTCAATCATGGCCACGACGGGAAAGATGCACGGTTAACAAGTGTTCCTCACGTCCAAGAGTCCTCCACCTCCTCAGAAACTTTGGCAAGTGTGGAGAGCACACTACTCACAGAGGGTGGATGCAATCTGCAGTACGTACCATATGCCCACCTGCCTTGCATCACAGCACCACCGCACCTCCCTCATACCTGATTGCAATGCAGCAGAGCATACAGCACCTCTGCCATGTCGGTTTGGGACAGTTCGTACAGCACGGCCTCCCCCCACGACCACCCCGACTCGTCATGCACCCTCCCTTCTAGCTTCTCTTCAATCCGCGGCACCACCTTAACAATCTCCCCCATCCGCTCCTCCACACACTCCTGAAGCTCCGCCATCACCCTCTCCACCTCCTCCATCGCCCCCCTCACCTTCTCCTCTCGCCCATTTTCTCACCCTACTACACCATCTCCCCCCTCCACTTGGCTTTGCTTCTTCCCCTCCCCGCTCGGCCTCTCCTCTGCCTCCCGGAGCCTCTTATTCGACGGAGTCCGCCCCCCAGCTTCCGCGCCTTCCCCCACACGCCAATCACCGCACCCAACCGGTTCCTCACAAGGCATCTCCTCAGCCTTCACCACTCTCGTGCCCTCAGCTCCATGCCCATACCTCCCGCCATCACCATCTTCCCCCCCCCAAACCTCCTCCGCCTTCACCGCCTCACCCACTGCCGTCCCTTGCGCGTCCTCCCCCCACCCCTCGGGCACATCTCTCCCCCTGTGCGCGGACCTGTCTCACCGCCGCTCGCGTGCTCCCCCGCACGTCCTCTGCAGCTGCAGCAAGGAAGCGCAAGAACTGTGCCGAAGGGAGTGGGATGGGGAAGCGGAGGAACGGACGGGAGACGGGAGGTTCTAGGGTCAGCGGGTGTGGAAAACCACGGGGGGAGAGACAAGCGGAGAGAGGCAAGAGGGGTGGGAGCGATGGGGTAGAGGACGGAAGAGGACCGAAACGGAGGGAAGCAGGCAGGAGCAAGAGAGAGGGGGGGGGGGGCAGGGAAGCGGAATTGCAGAGCAGAAGGACCTGCGGATGGGGCACGACGGGAAGAGATGCTTGAGCGCACCTCTATGGGCTTCGGCAAATGCGCTTCCACTCTCTCGCGATTTCGCTTCGCTGCCCCGCTTAATCGAAGCTCGTAGTACTTGTTCTCAATCCTCACAGCGGCTCGCCCCATCCTCCCAGCTTCCTTTTCTACCTTCGCTGCCAGCTGCGCCACCACTCTCCCTGCCTCCCTCACCGCTCCTAACACCTTCTCCTGCCTGGTTGTTTTCGCTGCGGCAGCATCGCGCGCCACCTCGCGCAGCCTCGTTTCCTCCTCACCCGCCATCCGCGTCGCCTCTCTCTGCCTTGTCGCCCTCACCAACTAGACTGCCCCGCTCCTCGCTCGCCTCTACCGCTGCTCTTAGTGTCTCGCACGATCGGTCTCGCCGTGGTTCACGAATCCAAGATGGAACGGCAAGTAGGGCTCGAGACCAGAACAGAACGAGAAGCGAAAAGCTGTGAGGATCCAAGAGGGTGGCTGCTTGTGAGAATTATAGCAAACGATTCACGAGGTAGCTGCAGCTGTGACAGCCTGCAGCGAGTAGTGCGAGCACTTGAGGCAGCTGGCACGGACATGCATTGGTGCATGCAAGGAACTCGGAACAATGGTGCATGTTTCCCGCTCCTCGACCTGAGAGCCGTTGACGCAAGCAGGGTCGGACTCGACTCGGCGCGTTCGCGATCCATGGCGACCCGCGTCGTGTCAGCATCATAGGAAGTTCATCGTCGCACGAATGCGCGACGATGCGCCAGCACCTTTAGTGCCGCACGGGACAACAGTCTCCCGCAGAGTAACGTGCGAGCGACCCACTAATGCGAGGAAACTCATATCTGACATTTGTACTTCGTCTCCCCTCAATTCGTTTTCGTCAAACGAAAAGCTCTTCAAATCTGCTTTCGCATCAGCTCATTCCTTTCGCGAATCCCAAATTTCTCAAACTGACCAACACACACCCACCACCGCCTGTGTCATTCCGCCTATCGCTCCGCCAGTGTCGTTCCGCCCGTGTCGCTCCGCCTGTCGCTCCGCCTGTGTCATTCCGCCGGTGTCGTTCCGCCGGTGTCGTTCCGCCTGTCGCTCCGCCTTTCGCTCAGTGATCGCCCCTGCCGACGGCGTCTCACCTTGCGGTTCTCTCCCGCCGTCGTGCACACCCCGCGCTCACCATCGCGGTTCGATCTCCGTCCCGCGTGCCCTCCTTCCCGCACGCCCTCACTCCGAGCGCTCTCAGCCCCGCGCGCGCTCAACCCCGCGCGGTCTCCGCCGCGCGCGCCCTCCGCCCCGCGCTCCCTCCGCTCCGCGCGTCCTTCGCCCCCGTGCCCTCAGAGCAGCCCTCTGATCTCCACCCTGCATAGCAGAGGGCCTGCCGGTTCGATTCCAGCTAATTCAAACAGTTAAACTCAACAGGAAGCAATACAACCAGCACGCAGCACTCAGCACGCGGTAGCACAGCATGGCAGCTGAGCTGCTCTCGCACCTCCCCTTGCCCGCCTCGCTCCTCGCCCTCGCCCTCACGGCGGCGGTAGCTCTGCTGCTGCTGCGCGTGCTGCTCGTGCTGCATGCTGTGGGCCGCCCCCACCGCAAGAGGCCGCCTGGGGATCGCCTTTCCACACTCATCGTGCTGGGCTCAGGTGCTTATCGTGCTGGGCTCAGGTGCTTATCGTGCTGGGCTCAGGTGCTTATCGTGCTGGGCTTGGTGCTTATCGTGCTGGGCTTGGTGCTTATCGTGCTGGGCGCTGTGCTTATCGTGCTGGGCGCAGTGCTTATCGTGCTGGGCGCAGTGCTTATCGTGCTGGGCGCAGTGCTTATCGTGCTGGGCGCAGTGCTTATCGTGCTGGGCGCAGTGCTTATCGTGCTGGGCGCAGTGCTTATCGTGCTGGGCTTGGTGCTTATCGTGCTCGGCGCAGTGCTTATCGTGCTGGGCGCAGTGCTTATCGTGCTGGGCGCAGTGCTTATCGTGCTGGGCGCTGTGCTTATCGTGCTGGGCGCAGTGCTTATCGTGCTGGGCTTGGTGCTTATCGTGCTGGGCGCAGTGCTTATCGTGCTGGGCTTGGTGCTTATCGTGCTGGGCGCAGTGCTTATCGTGCTGGGCTTGGTGCTTATCGTGCTGGGCGCAGTGCTTATCGTGCTGGGCGCAGGTGCTCAGTCTTGTGCGTCCTTCAGCCCGTGTAGCTTCTCACACAAGCTCCCAGCCTCTTCCTTCCACTGCCGCTTCAACGTCCCTGTGCGCGTCTCATGCCCCGCGCAGCACGATGCTACCAAGTTGTGATTACTTCAACCCTTGCCGCAATCTGTGCCCTTTCTTTTTCGCCACACTCTAGCAACCCCTTTCCGCCACACCCATACACCTTCACCCTCCCTGCATCCCCCACACTCACTCATGCTCGCCTTGCTGCCACGCACTCCCCACCACCCGCACCTCCATCCCCCCTACACGCTTCCTCCGCCTGCGCAACCGCCTTCCCCACTCCCCATGCGCCCCTCCCGTCCGCCGTCCTCCCCCAGGGGGCCACGCGGCAGGGATGGTGTGCCTCGTGAGAGCGCTGGCTGGACCACACGCGCTACAGCCCACCACCCACCATCTGTACTTCCCTCCCTCCCCACCGCCTGTGCCTTGCCCACTCTCACCCGTGCCCCCGCCTTGTCCCCCTCTCTTCCAGTTGGGCACACGGCGGAGATGCTGCGCCTGGTGGGCGCGCTGGACCACACACGTACGTGTTCACACACATGCATCCTCGCTGCTCTGCTCCTTCCACCATTATTCCCTTCCCCCCGCGCCCCTGCCTTTCCGCCGCGCCCTCAGGAGGCCACACGGCGGAGATGCTGTGTCTGGTGGGTGCGCTGGACCACGGGCGCTACAGCCCGCGCTGCTACATCGCTGCTGCCACCGACGCCATCAGCCTGCCCAAGGCGCGCCAGCTGGAAGCCACTCTCGCGCAGGTGAGTGCCACATAGCCCACCTCCCTGCGCACATAGCTCACCTCCCTGCGCACATAGCTCACCTCCCTGCGCACATAGCTCACCTCCCTGCGCACATAGATCACCTCCCTGCGCACATAGCTCTCCCCTCATCCTGCCTTTTCCCCACTCCCGCTCTCCCATCCATGCCCAGCAGGAAGCACCTGCTCCCTCCCCCAACCCACTTCGCCCCTCCTGCTCCCTTCACAGTCGGTGTATCGGAGTCGTGAGGTGGGGCAGTCATACGTCACCCACATGCTCTTCCTGCGTTTCCCCCACTCCCAATCTCCCATCCCATCCCTCCCATTCCAGGAACCACCCACTTCCTCCCCCGCTCCCGCGTCGCCCGTCCCACCACCCTGCTACCTGTCGGTGTATCGCAGTCGAGAGGTGGGGCAGTCGTACCTCACCTCAGTGCTCACCACCATCGCCGCCACGCTGCACGCCATGCTGCTCGTCGCACGCGTCAGACCACAGCTGGTATCCACCCCATGCCACCAGCCTGATGCTCCAATCCTTAACGTCTCTAGGTGTTGAATCCTAACCTGCAGCCTTGATTTGGATGGATCCTTCTTTGGTTTCCTCATGATTGCTACAACTCATCCACCTGATCCCTCCTGCCATGTTGAAATTAAGGCCGTGTACCTCTCTTTCTAGTTAACCTATCATACCCATATTCTGCTAGTTTCTGCTGCTCTTGTGCTGCCGCTCCTTCCCTTGTGCTGCATTCTGCTGACCTATGTGACGGAAGACGCTAGACGCGTCTTGCGTCTAGCGTCTAGACGCAGCGTCTAGACGCTAGACGCAAGACGCGAGTTTAGACGCTAGACGCTTGGGTAGAAAATTTTTGGGCAGCCCGAAAAAAAGATTTTCCTGGTAGTAGTAGCTATTTATCTCGTGTTTGCTACTGCTAGAGAGGCGTGGTTCCGTAACTATGTGTGATGAGAAATGAGGATTTTTGTGAACTCTAAATATGGAGAAAAACTTTTGGTACGGCGGAAATTTGACCCAAATGTGCCATATGTGCATGTTCCCCACCCTCCCCATGGCCCTCAGAAGTTTTTTTAGGCTGCCCGAACATTTTTTTAGGCCTGCCCGGGTTTCCGTCTAATATGCGTCTAACCTAGGCGGAAATGCGTCTAGCGTCTTAGACGCTGCGTCTAGACGCAACCGTCTAAGACGCTAGACGCGTCTTCCGTCACATAGCTGCTGACGTATAACTTGGAAGCCAGTGATACTGCCACTTGGTAACATACACTTTCACAGGATATTGTTAATCCCCTGCGCCTGGCCCCTCTCTTCCGACTGTGCCCCTCCCCCATCACACCTCTCCGCCCTTGCCAATCCAAGCCCATCTGTGCCCATACCCGCCCGCCGACCGTGCCCCGCCCATCACTATGCAGCTGCTGTGCAACGGGCCTGGCACCTGCCTGCCTATCTGCATTGCCGTCTTCACCCTGCATGTGAGCTGATCTCATTCCCACAGACGCCCCTCCTTCACCCTGCACACACCCACTGGGGAATCCGCATTTCAGCAAATTATCTTCATGTACACAGCAAAGGGTACTAGAGTTGTCCCTTCCAATAGGTGTGTCTAAGATTCCCCAATCACCATATTTTCAGCCAGTCCTTTTTTGAACGTGGAAATGCATTTTATCATCTTCGCCGCCTCTCCCTGGCAGCAATCCCAATCATTAGCTGCATGGGCAGCCATGCAAGGTCATCTCTTCTCCCCCAATTATCAGTTCTTCCCACTGTCCCCAATCTGCCGTACTTGCGTTCTGTGCTTCCGGTTCAGTAAAGTGGATGATTGCTTAAATATGATGCGGTTTCTGCGACTCGTCGTTTCAGGTGCCGGGAGTGCAGAGCAGCAGCATCGTGTTTGTGGAGAGTGTAGCGCGAGTGCAGCACCTGTCACTCACAGGCCGCTGCTGCACTGTTCAAACGCCCTCTCCGACACCTCCCCCTCCTCCACTGTTCCCTGTCTGACCCTTGTCTCCTTCCTTTTGCATACCCTGCTGCCAGCCTGCGCACAGCCAGAAAGCAGAGATTCAGAGGGCTGTCGAAGGGGTTGCGGCTCATGGGGCTCATCATAACCTGCTCTCACAACCCCTCACCATCATCCGCAGGTGCTGGGAGTGCAGAGCAGCAGCATCGTGTTTGTGGAGAGTGTGGCGCGAGTGGAGCACCTGTCACTCACAGGCCGCCTGCTGCACCGCCTGGGCATTGTGGACCGATTCTTCGTGCAGTGGCCGCACCTCACTGCCACATGCAAGGGCACTCAGTATGTGGGGCGCCTCATGTGATGCTGGCTGGTAGCAAGCACAGCAGCGCACTCAACTCTTGTTATGAGGTGACTCTTGAGTCGATTAAAAAGGCCGCTTAATGGACCGCGTCTCCACGCACTGGCTACACCTCGCCAGCTCATGCAAGGCTAACCATTACCGGGGCTGCCTCATATCATGGCAGAAGCAAGCACAGCAGGTCATCCAGCGCTTGTTATGACATGAGTCGCAAGGCCATCTGCTACACCACGCGGCCTACGTGGACCGATTCCTCGTGCAGTGGCTGCTGGCCCTTGCCTCGAACGCCCCCTCGCCCCTGTGACGCTCTCACCGCTTGGGCTCTCCTCTCTGCTCCGCCTGCTGCTGCTGTGCGACCACTCCTGCCACCTAGGCTACACAGCCAGCCATCTCTCTGCCGCAACCTCTGCTTCTACACATCCCACGATCCTCTTCAACCTCTCCCGCCACCTCCCCCGCACCCTTTCTCATCCGATGCCTCCCCAAGTGGGCCCTTGCTGCAAGTGTCGAAGTACTCTCAAGTTTTGGACGTGTACACTTGGTTCGGCTAGGTTGAATAGACTTGGGATTCCCATATGTACGTCTGTATGCTATCGTTCTAGTCATTCTCATCTTAAAAAGCAAGCCCTTTTTGAATGCCAGCGCCGCAACAAACGGACGTGTATGGGGTAGAGGTTGCAAGAGAGGTGCGTGGACATGGAATTGACTTGAACCAACAAGACGTGAATGGCGATTGTCTAGCATCTCTCACTGGTAAAAGGAGTTACAACATGGGCCATATTGGTGACCTTAAAGAAGGACGCAAGTGTTCAATAGCCAGGAGATCAAGGTATAGGCTTGGCAATTCTATAGACGGGTCCACTGCACATAACATTCCTTCCTCACCACTGCTGTACGAGCCTCGCAGTGTGAAACGAGCAGCTAATGGCATGACGCTTCCTTGCACAGACCCCACTACGCCCCCAGCTGCTTCATGAGCTCCGCCCTGCCCACAGCCAGCGCCTCTGGCAGCTTCTCCGGCTGCCTGCCCCCTGCTTGCGCGAAGTTGGGCCGCCCCCCTCCCCCTCCCCCACACACACGCGCCATGGCGCCCGCCAGCTTGCCCGCATTCACCCCCGCCTTCACCACCTGCGGGACACGAGAGCGAGGGCAAAGGGGACACGTGGGTGGGGCGAGAGGAAGCGGACAAGTGGGTGGGAGCAGGTAACACGGGGGCATGTGGAGAATGAATGGGCGCTGGGCCAGAGACAGCTGGCTTGCATGGAATAAAGGGATGGGATGGTGGGAGGTGACGGAGAAACAACATGAGGTGAGCATGAGCGCACAGCAGGCAGGAGCCACTCACCGCGGGGCTGAGCAGAGCCACTCACCGCGGGGCTGAGCAGAGCCACTCACCGCGGGGCTGAGCAGAGCCACTCACCGCGGGGCTGAGCAGAGCCACTCACCGCGGGGCTGAGCAGAGCCACGATGGCCACCTTGCCCTCGTCCCTGCTGCCCGACGCCAGCACCACGGCACTCTCCCTGCTGCCACCCTCACCGCCCGCTGACAGCTGAGCTGCCAGGCTCTCTGCGGCCGTCTTGAGCGCGTCTGCTGTCACCCCCGGCAGCTCCGCTACCAACACGCTGAGAGAGGCAGAGAGGGGGGAGAGGGAGAGGGGGCGAGAGGGGGAAAGGGAGGGAGGGGGAAGGACGGGCTAGTTGCGTTGTGAGTCGACTCAAAGGGCGTCTGCTGTCACCCCTGGCAGCTCCGCCACCAGCACCCTGAGAGAGGGGGAGAGGGGAGGGGCTTGTTGCGTTGTGTGGGAGGTGGAGGCAAGTGCGGTGTGGATGGAAATTTAAGCACGTGTTGTGAGAATCCCAATGTTGGGATTAGGGGGTGAACTCAAGAGTTGGTATATTGATAAAGAAGAGCAGTACAAATAGGGAATGGGAAGAGTGACCAAAATCAGAGTTACCCCACACCATTATTGGTTGACCAATGTGGTGAGGGTCCAGCCCAATAATTGAGGTTGAGTCAATTATTGGAGGGGCCAAACATTGGAGGGGTTGGCCACCAATGTTGGCTCCCCAACAATAATGGTCGCCTGGGTTGTGGAAACCCAACCAAAAGTTGGGAGACCACCTCAATGTGTACACCCATGATTTGGGTGGACACTATTAGTTCTAGCCATATACATGCTATATTCTAACACAACCCCTTAGCATGAGAATGGCTAGACCAAACAACCCCTGAAGCGAGGACCCGGTAATAGATGCGGCGAATGACGCGGCATGCCAGCTGAAGGTGCTGTGACGGTGAGGTCGCACACCAGCAGGGAGGGGGGGGCTGCTGCAGGTGAGGAAGCAAGCCAGCCGAAGGTGCTGCGGCGGTGAGGTCGCACACCAGCAGGGAGGGGGGCCTGCTGCAGGTGAGGAAGCAAGCCAGCCGAAGGTGCTGTGGCGGTGAGGTCGCACACCAGCAGGGAGGGGGGGGCTGCTGCAGGTGAGGAAGCAAGCCAGTCGAACGTGCTGTGGCGGTGAGGTCGCACACCAGCAGGGAGGGGGGGGGGGCTGCTGCAGGTGAGGAAGCAAGCCAGCCGAAGGTGCTGTGGCGGTGAGGTTGCACACCAGCAGGGAGGGGGGGGGGGCTGCTGCAGGTGAGGAAGCAAGCCAGCCGAAGGTGCTGTGGCGGTGAGGTCGCACACCAGCAGGGAGGGGGGGGGCTGCTGCAGGTGGCGAAGGGAGACGGCGGCGGCAGCGGGAGGTGGCAGAGCAGGCCACTACGAGGTGGGGTAGGAAGCGTTGGCGACCACGAGATGGCAGGGAGGTGAAATGGCCGTGGCAGCGAAGGGAACGGCGGCGGCAGCGGGAGAGCCGCGGCGGCGAAGGGAACGGCGGCGGCAGCGGGAGAGCTGCGGCGGCGAAGGGAGGAGGGCTGGGAGGCCCGCAGGAGGAGGAAGCGAGGGGGAAGGGGGAGGAGGGCTGGAAGGCCCGAAGAAGGAGGAAGCGAGGGGGAAGGGGGAGGAGGGCTGGATGGCCCGAAGGAGGAGGAAGCGAGGGGGAAGGGGGAGGAGGGCTGGATGGCCTGAAGGAGGAGGAAGCGAGGGGGAAGGGGGAGGAGGGCTGGATGGCCCGAAGGAGGAGGAAGCGAGGGGAGGTGGGTTGGATGGCCCTTAGAAGGGGGGCGGAAGCGTGGTGACGATGCGAATGAATGCGCTGACGGGCGAAATGCCCTCGGGAGCGGGATTGACGGGTGGAATGCCCTCGGAAGCGGAATCGACGGGCGAAGTGGTAGGCGCGGACGTTGCGCTGCTCGGCGCGTTCGTCGCGCGGGTCGGCGCGGACGTCCCGCTGCTCGGCGCGTTCGTCGCGCGGGTCGGCGCAGACGTCCCGCTGCTCGACGCGTTCGTCGCGCGGGTCGGCGCGGACGTCCCGCTGCTCGGCGCGTTCGTCGCGCGGGTCGGCGCGGACGTCCCGCTGCTCGGCGCGTTCGTCGCGCGGGTCGGCGCGGACGTCCCGCTGCTCGACGCGTTCGTCGCGCGGGTCGGCGAGGACATCCCGCTGCTCGGCGCGTTCGTCGCGCGGGTCGGCGCGGACGTCCCGCTGCTCGACGCGTTCGTCGCGCGGGTCGGCGCGGACGTCCCGCTGCTCGGCGCGTTCGTCGCGCGGGTCGGCGCGGACGTCCCGCTGCTCGGCGCGTTCGTCGCGCGGGTCGGCGCGGACGTCCCGCTGCTCGGCGCGTTCGTCGCGCGGGTCGGCGCGGACGTCCCGCTGCTCGACGCGTTCGTCGCGCGGGTCGGCGCGGACGTTGCGCTGCTCGGCGCGTTCGTCGCGCGGGTCGGCGCGTACAAGCGCCTCAAAAGCCACGGGGAAAAGCCTGAGGGAGGGGAGCAGGCTGATGGGGCAAAGACCATGAAGCTGGCAAGAGGCCGAGGATCTCCTAGGGAGGGAGAAGGTGGCGTTAGCCAAAATAGCTCTGATACCATGTGAGAATCCCATAGTTGGGATTAGGGGGTGAACTCAAGAGTTGGTATATTGATAAAGAAGAGCAGTACAAATAGGGAATGGGAAGAGTGACCAAAATCAGAGTTACCCCACACCATTATTGGTTGACCAATGTGGTGAGGGTCCAGCCCAATAATTGAGGTTGAGTCAATTATTGGAGGGGCCAAACATTGGAGGGGTTGGCCACCAATGTTGGCTCCCCAACAATAATGGTCGCCTGGGTTGTGGAAACCCAACCAAAAGTTGGGAGACCACCTCAATGTGTACACCCATGATTTGGGTGTACACTATTAGTTCTAGCCATATACATGCTATATTCTAACACGTGTGTGGTGTGAGTGGGCTCTCATCACACCTCCCTCCATGCATCCCATGCCCTCTACCCTCCCATGCGCTCTCCCCTCCCATGCCCGCTTCCACCCCATCCCAGCATCCTTCCCCCCCCCAGCTCACCGGCACCCCATGGCCCCCACGGTCTCGGCCTGGCCCAGCAGCAGCTGCGAGCGCGCCACAGCCAGGTCGCCCCGCAGGCTCTCCGCCTCGCTGCGCGCCGCCCGCAGCTCCTCCTGCAGCACCGCCACGCGCGCCGGCACCTCCTCCGCCTTCACCTGCATCCCGCGGCCCCCTCCCCCGCACAGCGTGGCGTTGGAAATGGACGCGGCAAGACAAGGAGAGAGACACGCGGTGGATCCAGAAACGGTACATCGCCAACGAGTGCGTGGAGAAAGAGCGTGGGGGAGAAGAACGTGTGGAGCAGAGAGAGAATGCCTTGAGGGAAGGGCGGGCATGGACGCACCTTGAGGGAGGAGGAGAGCGCCTTGACGACGCCGTCCCACTGGTGCAGCAGGTCCACGGCTGCCTCGCCTGCCACGGCCTCTATGCGCCTGACACCCGCTGCGATGCCCGCCTCGGAGAGCAGCTTGAAGGCACGGATGTGCGCCGTGTTGCCCACGTGCGTGCCGCCACACAGCTCCATGCTTATGCCCGGCACGTCTATCACCCGCACCTGATGGGGCGAGGAGAGAGGAGGAAGGAGGGGAGGGCGAGGGGGGCAGGTGTGTTCAAGTCGGCTCACATGCTAGCTACCACGCACCGTCACCCCTGGGAGTGGCACTTGAGGTTCGCTTGAACCGTGCGTTCCCCCTGCCCTTCCTGGAACTCTCTCACGTGCGTGCCTGCCGTCTCCACAACACAGCGCTGATGGTGTGCTGTCACACCATTCCGCCCACGTGCCCCTCCCTCTACCTGTCCTTTCCCTCACACCATACCTCCTCACCATACTACTCTCCGAACATGGCGATGGCACCGCCACCATATGTGGTTCCCACCCGGGATGGTCCGCCCCATGCTTCTCCAGCCCCTTCACACATGCGCAAGCCCCTCCCTGCCCATTCCCCCACACCACACATACCTCGTCGCCGTACTTCTCCCCAAACATGGCAATCGCCCCAGCCGCCTTGGCGTCAGCAATGGGCATGACGGCCGATGTGACGTCAGCGCCAGCAGCGATCCACTGGTTGACGCGGGCCTCCACGGCGGAGAGCTCTTGGGGCGAGAGGGCGCGCGGGAAGTGGAAGTCGAAGCGCAGGCGGTCGAACGCCACCAGGCTGCCCGCCTGTGCCACGTCCGGCCCCAACTGCTCCCGCAGCGCCGCCTGCAGCAGATGCGTTGCCGTGTGGTGCGCCTGGAGAGGGGGAGGGGAAGGGAAACGGAGAGGAGGATCAGAGCGGAGGGATGAGGATGAGGCATGTGGTGAAAACTCAAAATGGCACCTTAATCTAACAATCCGGCTTCAGTTCTCACACCTGCCCTCACGCTCACCTGCACCCTCATTCCCTCTCCCCTCACCTGCGCCCTCAGCCGTTGCTCCTCATCCACCACCGCCTCCACCTCATCGCCCACACACACCTCCCCCTCCTCCACCTCCCCCCGGTGCAGCCACAGCCCTCCCCCCGCGCGCTGCACATCCCTCACGCGCACCACCCCTCCCTCGCCCTCCCCATCCCCCCCCTGCAGCACGCGCATGTGCCCCCAGTCGGCGATCTGCCCGCCCCCCTCGGCATAGAAGGGCGTGCGCGCCAGCACCACGTCTACTGCCTGCCCCGCTGCTGCGCGCTCCACCACCTTGCCGCCCACCACGAGCGCCAGCACGGGCGAGGAGGACGCGAGGGAGTGGTACCCCACGAACTCCGTCTCGGGCACCTGCCCCGCCAGGTCCGCTGCTGCCCCGCCCACCGCCAGCTTGATCGCACTGTGCGCCGCCTGGGGGTAGGCGGATTGGGGAAAGGCGGATTGGGGAAAGGCGGATTGGGGAAAGGCGGATTGGGGAAAGGCGGATTGTGGAAAGGCGGATTGGGGAAAGGCGGATTGTGGAAAGGCGGATTGTGGAAAGGCGGATTGTGGAAAGGCGGATTGTGGAAAGGCGGATTGTGGAAAGGCGGATTGTGGAAAGGCGGATTGTGGAAAGGCGGATTGTGGAAAGGCGGATTGGGGAAAGGCGGATTGGGGAAAGGCGGATTGGGGAAAGGCGGATTGGGGAAAGGCGGATTGTGGAAAGGAGGGAAGACATGGATTGTTCTTTGAAGAGAACCAACTGAAGGGAGGCGGACTGGAGGGGGCCGGTTTATTCTGGCCTAGCTCCAAACCAAGCCCACTTTTCCATACCTCTCTCTCTAGCTTGACTAACTGTACTCGCCGTTTCCATTCCAAACAACACCTCCACAGTTCAATGTCACCTCAGCCTCACACGCGTACCTGCGACTGCCTGCGCTGTGCCGCCATCTCTTCCTCAAAGCCCGCCATGTCCACCGCCACGCCCCTCTCCCGCGCCACCTCCTCTGTGATCTCCACGGGGAACCCATACGTGTCGTACAGCACAAACGCATCCCGCCCACTCAGCACCGCACCCGCCGGACTCCCCGCCCCCTCCCCTGCAGCAGCAGCACTGACGGCGGCACCAGCAGCGCCATGAGCAGCATGGGCGAGCGCCTGGGAGAGCAGGGAGTCGAGCATCTTCTCCCCTCGCTCCAGCGTGGCCACAAACCGCTCCTCCTCGCGCCGCAGCTCCTCCACCACTCGCTCTGCTCGCTCCCCCACGTTGCTGTTGATGTCCCCGCTCATCGCTATCACCTGTTGACGGCGTGAGGGGGGAATGCGGTGGTTGGGGGCGCAGGGGGGAAACGCAGGCCCCACTGGCAGTGCTGCTCGCAGCTCCTCCACCAAGCGCTCTGCGCGCTCCGCCACACTGCTGTTGATGTCCCCGCTCATGGCTATCACCTGGTACAGGGGAGGGGGGAGGTGTGGGAAGGTTGGGCGTAGATGGTATTAGGTGGGGCGCGCAGGAGAGGAAGTACAGGGCCCCACTGACAATGCTGCTCGTGACTGCTCCGGCCCTGTAAGCTGGTGGCGGGGGCAAGGAGAGACGGAGGGGTTTAGACGAGAAGCGGGAAAGGTGAAGGAGACAATGAAGAGGTACAGAAAAGAGGCACCGGATAGGTACATGAAGCGGGGGGTAGAAGAGCCATGCATGCAGCTGCAAAGAAACAGATGGAAGGAGGAAGTTGAATTTCACACCTGTCGCGCGATGATGGGCAGGAACGCAGAGTCGCCTGCCCCTGCAGCACTGCCATTGCCATTGTCGGTGGCGGTGTGAATGGCGGTGCTGGCGTTGATGCCGAGCAGCCTGGCGGTGCGCACAAGGCGGCGCACGAGGCGACGCACAACGTAGCCGCGGCCGAGATTGGAGGGCGACACACCGTCCGCCACCAGGTGCACCACCGCCCTCGCATGGTCGCCTATCACCTGCCGAGCACAGCGCACGCCGGGGGGAGCAGGTGGACCGGTGCATGGCCGGAGCACCCAGCGAGATGCGATGAGACTGAGGTGAGGCGAGGTGATGTGAGATGTATGCAGCAGCACTGCCGGGAATAATCGGCAGCGGCTAACGAGATGGCCGGGGAGAATGCAATGGGTGGGCTGAGTGAGGCACAAGGCGGGCAGAGGCAGGGGGACAGCAGGGACCTGGGGACAGCAGGGACCCGGGGACAGTGAGAGGTTGCTTCACGACAAGGCATGTGAGCTCCCACCCTGATAGCTCTGACCTCCGCCACACCCACCTTGAGCATGCGCTTGGTGTCGTCGTCCGCGCTGTGGTAGTCCACACCCGCCAGCTCTGCAGCGCGCTGCACGATGGGGAAGATGAGGTCCGTCTCGTAGTTGCTCGGCACCTGCCGGGGCAGTGGGTATGTGGGCATGATGGGGGGCAGGTGAGCAAGGGGAGTGAGATGCGTCAGTGGAGATGTGGGCGATTGCGGAGATGGGGACGCTAGACGAAGTCCGTCTCACCTGCCAGGGCAGTGAGCACGGGGGTAGACCATGGGAGAAGCATGGGAGAGGGGGTTAAGGCAGCAAGGCACTACACCCCAATGCGCGTCACCGGAAAGCACCACATTCTGCACACATCAGCTGCACTGCACAGCACAGCGCGGGTCACCTGCTGCACGCGCCACCTTACTGTGGGCCACCACGCCAGCAAGCACCACAGCCTGCACCCCTCCCCTGCTGCAGGATCTGATCTGAGCGAGGCGTTCAAGGCCGAGCCCCGTGTCGATGTTCTTGCACTGCAGGGCAGCCACAGCAGCAGCAGCATACCCAACCAGTGGCGGACACAGGCACACTCCCCTCACCCACGTGCACCGCACCTCACCCATCTGAACGCGCACCTGCTGCAGGATCTGCGCAAGGCGTTCGAGGCCGAGCCCCGTGTCGATGTTCTTGCAGCGCAGCGGCTCCAACGCCCCGTCGTCACGCCGGTTGCTCTCCATGAAGACCAGATTGTAGAACTCGATAAAGCGCGAGTCGTCGCCCAGGTCCTGCCATAGAGGCACACAGCACAGCACATGGTGCAAGGGGCGCGGGGCAAGGGGCACATATGCACTTGTCGCAATTTTAAAAGAGTCCACTACGTTCACATCACAAGGCCCCACCATGCCCGCATGCACTCACACACGTAAGCTATCCTTCACACCCCACTCCACAACCCCATCTCCTTCCCAAATGAATGCCCCACCAAATCATGCTGCACAATCCACACCACACCATCTGCTATAGCATCCACCGCAACACCCCCTATTCATAGCATATTCAGCGATGGTAAGATAATACACCGCAACTCAGAGCCAATCCTGCTTGAGGCTTCAGCTCGCTACAAGGCACCCATAGCCACGCGTGTACAGTGGGTTTCGGACTCAAGCCAGGAGAAGTCTGGTTGGTCTCGTGTAGATTCGGCTCGACTCGGGTCGAGCTGAGAAGCAGCCTTGGCTGAAACCTCTGCTCGGGCGTACCACACCACATAGTCCACCAGCAGAGCTTGTTGCAAGGCCGCCGGCCAGAGTACCCTTGTGCCTTGCCACCGCAGCGGGTGTTCCAGATGTTCAGCACAGCACATGTGTGCACGGAAGCAACCCCGGTACGGAAGCAGCGTTGATAGCAGCTGTGGTACTCATGCCAAGTCAAGGTAAATGTCGGTGCTCTCCTGCATGCAGTGCTCATGTATGCATGAACCGACTGCACCCCCCGCAGATACTCACCGCCCCCTCAATGCCCCGCCCGGGGTACAAGTTGTAGTAGAGCTCGCTGCACTGCCCTCGCATGCACTGCCCTCACATGCACTGCCCTCGCATGCACTGCCCTCGCATGCACTGCATATTTATGTACGAATGAGGAGATTAAAGCCACCCCAGGTACCCTCAGCGCCCTCGATGCCGCGTTCAGGATGGAAGTCATAGTAGAGCTCGCTGCAGGGACCACACGGCCAGCGCATGTATGTATGCATGAAAGACCCCCCTCCTTCTATACACGGGTACTCACGGCGCCCTCAGTGCCCCGCTCTGGGTGGAAGTCGTAGTAGAGCTCGCTGCACTGCTCTTGCATGCACAGCATATTTATGCATGACAGCAGCTTCTGCCTCGAATGCACAGGTACTCACCGCCCCCTCAATGCCGCGTTCAGGGTGGAAGTCATAGTAGAGCTCGCTGCACGGCCCACACGGCCCCGTGGGCCCGCTCGCCCAGAAGTTGTCCTCCTCGCCCAGCCGCTGTATGCGCTCCGGTGCCACTCCCACCTGGCGTTCCAAGTGGGTAAGAGGGGGGGAAGAGGGTGTGTGCGGGTACGGTGGGTTTGAGTCAGCTCTAAAGGCTGCGGGTGGCTTTTGAGATTTCCCACAAAGACTTCTAGGCAGAAGCTGTGTTGCTCAAGCAGTGTCCGTGTGCATGCAATGCGCTCAGCGGCAGCCCTTGTGCTCGTGTCGTGTGGATGTGGGGCGAGCAAGGCACAGCAATCCCCAGCATGCAGCATGCAGGGGTACATGCGAATGTGAGCATAGCAGCAGCAGCAGCAGCAGCAGCAGGGGGGGGAGCAGTAGGCAGCGGGGGCGGCACGCACCTGGTCCTTCCAAATGGCGTACGTCTCATCGTCGTCGCGGAAGACGCTCACCCAGATGCGCTCCTCTGGTATGCCGAACCTGCCCTCGCACCACACACCACACACAGAGAGGGGGGCGAGGCAAAGCAGAGCAGAGCAGAGCAGGGCGCATAAAAATGGAAGGCGCATGACATGCAAGATGGAGAGAGGGGCCGGCGTGGGCGCGGGGGCACAAGGGTGAGGCAGCATAGAGCCTAGACGTTGCGTGGGTCCGGCGGAGGTGGTTGCAGTTGCAGCGGCGCGGCAAGGCAAGGCAGGGGCGTGGGAGGCAATGAGTGCCCCACCACGTGAGCATGCCCAGTGCGGCACATCGCTGAGATTGGGGGAGGGGAAAGAGATGCGAGCAACACGGGCAGCCAGATTTGAATGGCATGAAGAAGCAGTGCCGTGGCCGTGCATGCAATTCAGTCCAAGTGCCCGCTATCTCACACCTAACCTGCCCCGTGCAGTGCGGTGGGCCCGCCCTCTGGCAGTGTGCTGTGCTCCACCACCTGGCCCCCTGCACTCACTCCTGCGTGGCCAGCTGCCAGGCCCACTGGCAAGCCTCCTGCTTGAAGTAATCACCGAAGCTGAAGTTGCCGAGCATCTCAAAGAAGGTGTGGTGCCGCGCTGTGCGCCCCACGTTCTCCACGTCGTTGGTGCGCACACACCGCTGGCTCGTTGTCGCACGCGGCACACTTGGTGGCACCTGGGGCAGGTGGGATGGCGGGCAGGTGGGATGGCGGGCAGGTGGGATGGCGGGCAGGTGGGATGGCGGGCAGGTGGGATGGCGGGCAGGTGGGATGGCGGGCAGGTGGGATGGCGGGCGGGCAGGTGGGATGGCGGGCGGGCAGGTGGGATGGCGGGCGGGCAGGTGGGATGGCGGGCAGGTGGGATGGCGGGCGGGCAGGTGGGATGGCGGGCGGGCAGGTGGGATGGCGGGCGGGCAGGTGGGATGGCGGGCGGGCAGGTGGGATGGCGGGCGGGCAGGTGGGATGGCGGGCAGGTGGGATGGCGGGCAGGTGGGATGGCGGGCAGGTGGGATGGCGGGCAGGTGGGATGGCGGGCAGGTGGGATGGCGGGCAGGTGGGATGGCGGGCAGGTGGGATGGCGGGCAGGTGGGATGGCGGGCGGGCAGGTGGGATGGCGGGCGGGCAGGTGGGATGGCGGGCGGGCAGGTGGGATGGCGGGCAGGTGGGATGGCGGGCAGGTGGGATGGCGGGCAGGTGGGATGGCGGGCAGGTGGGATGGCGGGCGGGCAGGTGGGATGGCGGGCAGGTGGGATGGCGGGCGGGCAGGTGGGATGGCGGGCAGGTGGGATGGCGGGCGGGCAGGTGGGATGGCGGGCGGGCAGGTGGGATGGCGGGCGGGCAGGTGGGATGGCGGGCGGGCAGGTGGGATGGCGGGCGGGCAGGTGGGATGGCGGGCAGGTGGGATGGCGGGCGGGCAGGTGGGATGGCGGGCAGGTGGGATGGCGGGCGGGCAGGTGGGATGGCGGGCAGGTGGGATGGCGGGCGGGCAGGTGGGATGGCGGGCAGGTGGGATGGCGGGCGGGCAGGTGGGATGGCGGGCGGGCAGGTGGGATGGCGGGCAGGTGGGATGGCGGGCGGGCAGGTGGGATGGCGGGCAGGTGGGATGGCGGGCGGGCAGGTGGGATGGCGGGCAGGTGGGATGGCGGGCGGGCAGGTGGGATGGCGGGCGGGCAGGTGGGATGGCGGGCGGGCAGGTGGGATGGCGGGCGGGCAGGTGGGATGGCGGGCAGGTGGGATGGCGGGCGGGCAGGTGGGATGGCGGGCAGGTGGGATGGCGGGCAGGTGGGATGGCGGGCGGGCAGGTGGGATGGCGGGCAGGTGGGATGGCGGGCGGGCAGGTGGGATGGCGGGCGGGCAGGTGGGATGGCGGGCAGGTGGGATGGCGGGCGGGCAGGTGGGATGGCGGGCGGGCAGGTGGGATGGCGGGCGGGCAGGTGGGATGGCGGGCGGGCAGGTGGGATGGCGGGCGGGCAGGTGGGATGGCGGGCGGGCAGGTGGGATGGCGGGCAGGTGGGATGGCGGGCGGGCAGGTGGGATGGCGGGCGGGCAGGTGGGATGGCGGGCGGGCAGGTGGGATGGCGGGCGGGCAGGTGGGATGGCGGGCAGGTGGGATGGCGGGCGGGCAGGTGGGATGGCGGGCAGGTGGGATGGCGGGCGGGCAGGTGGGATGGCGGGCAGGTGGGATGGCGGGCGGGCAGGTGGGATGGCGGGCGGGCAGGTGGGATGGCGGGCGGGCAGGTGGGATGGCGGGCGGGCAGGTGGGATGGCGGGCAGGTGGGATGGCGGGCGGGCAGGTGGGATGGCGGGCAGGTGGGATGGCGGGCGGGCAGGTGGGATGGCGGGCGGGCAGGTGGGATGGCGGGCGGGCAGGTGGGATGGCGGGCGGGCAGGTGGGATGGCGGGCGGGCAGGTGGGATGGCGGGCAGGTGGGATGGCGGGCAGGTGGGATGGCGGGCAGGTGGGATGGCGGGCAGGTGGGATGGCGGGCAGGTGGGATGGCGGGCAGGTGGGATGGCGGGCAGGTGGGATGGCGGGCGGGCAGGTGGGATGGCGGGCGGGCAGGTGGGATGGCGGGCGGGCAGGTGGGATGGCGGGCAGGTGGGATGGCGGGCAGGTGGGATGGCGGGCAGGTGGGATGGCGGGCAGGTGGGATGGCGGGCGGGCAGGTGGGATGGCGGGCAGGTGGGATGGCGGGCGGGCAGGTGGGATGGCGGGCAGGTGGGATGGCGGGCGGGCAGGTGGGATGGCGGGCGGGCAGGTGGGATGGCGGGCGGGCAGGTGGGATGGCGGGCGGGCAGGTGGGATGGCGGGCGGGCAGGTGGGATGGCGGGCAGGTGGGATGGCGGGCGGGCAGGTGGGATGGCGGGCAGGTGGGATGGCGGGCGGGCAGGTGGGATGGCGGGCAGGTGGGATGGCGGGCGGGCAGGTGGGATGGCGGGCAGGTGGGATGGCGGGCGGGCAGGTGGGATGGCGGGCGGGCAGGTGGGATGGCGGGCAGGTGGGATGGCGGGCGGGCAGGTGGGATGGCGGGCAGGTGGGATGGCGGGCGGGCAGGTGGGATGGCGGGCAGGTGGGATGGCGGGCGGGCAGGTGGGATGGCGGGCGGGCAGGTGGGATGGCGGGCGGGCAGGTGGGATGGCGGGCAGGTGGGATGGCGGGCGGGCAGGTGGGATGGCGGGCAGGTGGGATGGCGGGCGGGCAGGTGGGATGGCGGGCGGGCAGGTGGGATGGCGGGCGGGCAGGTGGGATGGCGGGCGGGCAGGTGGGATGGCGGGCAGGTGGGATGGCGGGCGGGCAGGTGGGATGGCGGGCGGGCAGGTGGGATGGCGGGCGGGCAGGTGGGATGGCGGGCGGGCAGGTGGGATGGCGGGCAGGTGGGATGGCGGGCGGGCAGGTGGGATGGCGGGCAGGTGGGATGGCGGGCGGGCAGGTGGGATGGCGGGCAGGTGGGATGGCGGGCGGGCAGGTGGGATGGCGGGCGGGCAGGTGGGATGGCGGGCGGGCAGGTGGGATGGCGGGCGGGCAGGTGGGATGGCGGGCAGGTGGGATGGCGGGCGGGCAGGTGGGATGGCGGGCAGGTGGGATGGCGGGCGGGCAGGTGGGATGGCGGGCAGGTGGGATGGCGGGCGGGCAGGTGGGATGGCGGGCAGGTGGGATGGCGGGCGGGCAGGTGGGATGGCGGGCGGGCAGGTGGGATGGCGGGCGGGCAGGTGGGATGGCGGGCGGGCAGGTGGGATGGCGGGCAGGTGGGATGGCGGGGAGATGGAATTCACTTTAGAGAAATCCAACAGAGGTGGGATCGCGAACAAGTGGAATAGCGAGGAGGTGGGGAGGTGGAAGGAGAGTTGACAAGAGCGTGGTGCTGGCAGCATGCTGTGCCGAGTGGCTGTGGCATAGGGTGCACTTCTGGGAAGGGGACCAACGCAGTGCGGTGCGGGGAAGGGACGATGGGAGCACGGGAGCGAGTAATCGGAGCATGGGACTGGGAAATGAGGGCATGGGTTGGAGATATAGGGGGGCATGGGAGGGGGATGGAAGCATGGGAGAAGGAAAAGTGGGCATGGGAGGGGGAATGGAGGCATGGGAGGGGGGTGGGGCCATGGGAGAGCGATGGGGCCCCACCTGGCCGAGGAAGACGGGTTTGAAGGGCAGCATGCCGGCGATGGTGAGCAGCACGGTGGGGTCGGCGGGCACCAGAGACGCGGACGGCAGCACGGCATGGCCCCTCGCCGCGTAGAACTCCAGGAACCGCCGCCTCAGCTCGCTGCCCGCCACTGCCGGGTCCACCGCTGCTGGTGCTGGTGCTGCTGGCGCTGGTGGAGGGGCGGGTGCTGCGGGTGCGATGGGGAAGGGGGGGAGGAGCGTGGGGGGACGCAGGGAGGGTGGAGGGAAGCACGGAGGGCGGGGGAGAAAGGGGGGGGCAGGGGAAACATGGAGGGCGGCGGAAGCAGGGAGGAGCGGGAGGGCGGGGGAAGCAGGGAGCCGCGGGAAGCAAAGGGGCCGTGGCAAGCAGTGAGGGATGAGTGAGTGACGGAGGTGATGGGAATGATAGGAAGGGATGAGGGGTTGTTGCGGGGATACGGCCGAAACAGGAGGGAGGGGTTGCGGAGAGTGTGGCGGGAGGAGGACGGGAGGAGGACGGGAGGAGGACGGGAGGAGGACGGGAGGAGGACGGGAGGAGGACGGGAGGAGGACGGGAGGAGGACGGGAGGAGGACGGGAGGAGGACGGGAGGAGGACGGGAGGAGGACGGGAGGAGGACGGGAGGAGGACGGGAGGAGGACGGGAGGAGGACGGGAGGAGGACGGGAGGAGGACGGGAGGAGGACGGGAGAAGGACGGGAGGAGGACGGGAGGAGGACGGGAGGAGGACGGGAGGAGGACGGGAGGAGGACGGGAGGAGGACGGGAGGAGGACGGGAGGAGGACGGGAGGAGGACGGGAGGAGGACGGGAGGAGGACGGGAGAAGGACGGGAGAAGGACGGGAGAAGGACGGGAGAAGGACGGGAGAAGGACGGGAGAAGGACGGGAGAAGGACGGGAGAAGGACGGGAGGAGGACGGGAGGAGGACGGGAGGAGGACGGAGGAGAAGGAGGAGACGGGAGGAGGACGGGGAGGAGGACGGGAGGAGGACGGGAGGAGGACGGGAGGAGGACGGGAGGAGGACGGGAGGAGGACGGGAGGAGGACGGGAGGAGGACGGGAGGAGGACGGGAGGAGGACGGGAGGAGGACGGGAGGAGGACGGGAGGAGGACGGGAGGAGGACGGAGGAGGACGGGAGGAGGACGGGAGGAGGAC